CTTAAACAGTTTGGAGCTTGCTTTCATTTTCAGTCATAGCTCCTAGAATATATTCTTTATCTTTCCTGAATACTCATTCACTAATTCATTTATTCATTTATTTACATGTCTGTATGTCAGCTATGTGATGCTGTGCTAGGTGTGTTGAGGACACAGACATAAATAAGACAGTCATGATTGTTGTTCATTAGTGCTTTTAAAATTGCCATTTCCATTATTTCTACCTTTATGCTTTGTTATCTGTCCTTTTACTATTTATTCAGTTTGTATTAGTCTTTTTTTAAAATCAAATGTATCTCCTTTCTAAGTCATTTTGTGACTTTTTCAGATGGTGTTGTTTCTTTGTGTTCCAGTAATAATTTATACTTGTACCTTTATTATAGTCCTTACTGTACTATATTATATTATATTATATTATGTTATATTATATTTACTTGTTTACAGTTTATTCTTCCCACTAAGTTGAAATTTTTTTTAAAAAAAACAAACAGGAGGGAGGAAAACAAAAGAGTAACACAGAAATTTGGGGGTTGAGTAACACAGAAATGCAGTTTGAGGTCAGGGATAGGAAAAGACAAGAACACAAGAGAAGAAAAACAGGAGAGGCAGGATGAGTCTTAGTTGAAAACAGACACCAGAGCCACACCGGGTTTGAATTCTGACTCTCCACTTACTAGCAGGGCACGTGGTTTCATATCTCTGTATCTCAGTTTATAATGGGGATGTTAATAAGATCTTTGTGAAGATTAAGTGAATTAATATTTGTAAAGTGCTTAAAATGATGAACAACACATAGTGTATGCTATATGTGTTTGTTATTTTTACTAGCAGTAACTTGCTTTATTAATATAAGCAAGGTTTTGTCATTTAGTTTTTGAAGGATGCAAGATTTTCAAGCTGCATAATATCTCATCTTGTGTGGCTAGTTAAGGGCAGTATATTTCTGAGTATATTTTGGGCCTGGGCTAAGAATAAAACTCCTATATGTATTTGCTGCTTATAGTATAATATCAAAGTTATTCTTTTACCTCTTAATGCCATATTCTGTCCTGTTTCTGAAGCTATGAGGAATGCTAATGATAATTCATCCATTTTCCTTTTTACCTCATCCTTCAAGCTTGATGCACACCATTGTTTTCATGTCATACCTTAATATGTTGAGAACAAGGCAGGCAGGGATAATGTCTGGGTCAGACTTCTTAGTTGTAGTAATGACCTGTGTCTCAGCACCAACCTGATAAACAGCTGGCAGTATAACCATTCCTGATTACCTCTTCCCTTCACTCTCATTGCCCCTCTCTTGCAGAGTCACTTCTGCTCAGTCTTTTACAACAACACTGTTGACCCCTCTTTGATTAGACTATAATGCCCTACTCAGTTCTGCTCCTGGTATGCCTGGCTTTCAAAAATAAGAAAGAAAGGCTAAGAGATTAAAGCCCTTATCACTGACCAGTCAATGACTTCATTGTTAACAAATAAATTAAATGCTGATTGCCATGGTACATCTGTTTTTAGGAAGACTTAGAGTAGATAACATGTTGAATACTTTTTGAGTGATGGAGAAAGAAGGAGTAGGTTGTGGTTTGTAGGGGATATTTGGGACTTGACATTCCTTCCTAATACTTGTTAGGTACTAGAGATTCAAAAATTTAGTTCATATTTGGCTCTAAATGACCGGTGTAGTGACTGGAGTGAAGTTGAAAGGAAAGAGAGATGGCTGGGGGTTGAAGTTGCAGGAGAGTTTTATCTGTTCTTACTCTACACAATCTCCCCAAGTGGTTTCATGTATTCTTTTGACCAAATTTTGTTGAGAGTCTTGGTAGTTATCAGAGCAGTTTCATTCTGTTTCTGGAATATACAGTGATCTCTTGTCTTTAGAACATCACACATGTTCTTCCTTTTGCCTGAAATGTTAACTAATTCTTATTGGTTCTTAAAATATAATCATGGAGGTCACAACTTTGAGAAAAGCTTACTTGATCCTTCAACACTGGATGTAGTTCTCAGGGTTCTTATTGTTCTCCAATTGTAACCTTTATTATGCTGCATTGTAACTGTTTTCACCAGATTGTTCGAGAAAAGCAGAGAGATGTGTAAATAACTATGCATGGTGTATGGCTGATGCTCCAAAAATATTTGTTGGTTGAGTGAATGAGTGTGATATGGAAAAGAGAAGTGTTAGCTATTCAAGGCAAGGGGAAGAGGCTAAACCAAAAAAGGAGTGTGGTAGTTAATATTGCCGATTCTAAGGCAATATTGTGGATCTCCTTTGACTAGAGTATATATTGAAAAGGAAGCAGGAACTTTAAATAATAATATGTTCTCATGAATTTGATAATTCTTGTACATAAGAAATAGTTTTTATTGATTCTTGTTAAAAATTTTGTAATACTCTTCAATGGATTAAACATTTGCTAACTGCCTATTTTGTAGACTCTTGTTTTTCTTTTAAAATTGTTTTGACATAATTTATAGAGAAACTTTTAGAAAATTTGAATGAGTGCTGTTGATTGTATTTAACAGCTGTCATTAAACTTTGGGCTTCTTTTTATAAACTATTTTAAACTATGATGATTTAAAAATATAGTTCAAATAAGGCACTAATCTAACTTATGTATGAGGGTTTCCTTTTTATTTGTAGCTTAAAGAAAAATAAATGCTTACAGCTGTGACTTTTTTTTCTCTAGTATCTCCAGAGGCAGTTGGATTTTTGTCAGCTGTTGGGGTGTTTATTATCTTGATGCTGCTCCTTTTTCTCTATATTAATAAGAAGTTCTGTTTTGAAAATGTTGGCGGGTTTCCAGATCTTGGTTCAGGATACAATACAAGGAAGAATTCACAAGACAAAATGTGTAAGTATCATATTACTTCTTTTCTTTTTTATCTGTATTCTTTATTCATTTTAATACATACAATAAGAAAATTGGCTTTGACATATAATAAACTTATATTTGAGCCTCTTCCTTGTAAAAAATGAATAAATTATGTTCAGACATCTGTCTTTTGACTATGAATTGCTAAGTTATTACATAAAGATGAATTGTCTACTATCACAAAATAACATTTTTATTTTTCATTTATAATATATGCTTTTAGAAGAAAGAGATATCTGATTACTTTATATAGCTCAAATACATTGTCACATAGATTTCTAGAGAGCTTTCTCCCCATACCCCCAGAAAGTTTTTGATACTAGTCACACTTTTTCTTTACCTGCAGTATACTTTTCAGCTGCTGGATAATTTTATTGCTTGGAGGAGGTGATTTTTTCCTACTAATTTAATGTATAGATAAATTCTGATTATAAAAAGCAGTGTTCACTCTCTCCCTTGGCACTATAGGCATTATATTACTTAGTATTTACATATTGGGGAAGGCAGTTTATGATGTTATTCTTTATTTTTTGCAAAGCTTTTTTTGCAGGGTTTTTCTTTTGCTTCTTTATTAAATAAGAATTTTTAAATTTTCAATTTCCAAAGATAAAGGATAAAATTTTTAATTTAGAAGAGTTTCCATGAGTGCCTGTCGTGGTGGTGCACGCCTGTAATCCCAG